TATATAAAAAAATTGAAGAATAAAGATTATATAAAACTCTAAAGTTAAAAAACCAAAATTAATATTTAACCTTTAAAAAACAATTCAGAAAAGTAATAATGGCTAGCATTGTTGCAACAAGAAAGTATGTTTATATACTAATTTTCTAATTAAATACAAAAAGTTAATAATTCAATGAAATTGTAATAAAAAATCACTACAAAACTTATTAACTTTTTATACAATATTTTTTTAATCTCTTTTCCAATCAAAACGTTTTTAATAAAATTGACTTTCTAATCAAATTGACCCTTAGTTTCTACTTGTAAAAGAAAAGTGTGACTTTTATTAATCTTGTAAAAATGCTGTTATATTGTAACTAAGCCACGATACTGAATCTAAATTAAGTTAGCCTTGTGGATTATAAGCATCTAAAATCCATTTTAAAACTTTATAGTTTATATGCTAATCATGTATTAAGATTTAAGAATATTTTCTGTGAACGATTCAAAAATATTCCATATGAACTAATAAGTTGGTTTCTAGTCTCAACGTACCTAAAAGGCTTAACAACTTTTAAATAGAAATCTATTATTGGATTTCTTCAAAGATTACAGCTAGAGTCTATGAGCTCAGTAATCACCATGCGCAGTCTAGCGTGAAATAATTAATACACAAACAACAATAACATTTTATTAATAACTCGTTGGTTCGACTAAAATAAATTCAATTCTTCTTAATTAAAGTCTCAAGTTCAAGCTTTATAAATAGAAAAACAAGCATTAAGAGAACTTTCATTTCATGGAATACAACATGACTCAATTATGAACTAATTGAAATCCAACGGTGACTTCCGGATTTAATACAAAAGAACAACAATGACATTTTAGGCAAAACCATAAGTTAAGCCCCTGAACCAACCCCAGAATCGCTATTAAGCCCCTAGACTATAATTGATGCATATAAGCCCTCGAACTCGGGGATCAAAGCAATTAAGCCCTTCTTCTTACACCAACTTAACTGCCGTTTGAGACTGCCGGCCTGACTTAACTGCCGTTGAGGACACACCCCGCTTGGCTGCTTGGATGGCAAAAAATTGCCATGTCATGCTTACATGGCAAGGGAT